AAAAACTTAGAAAGAGAACAACAAGAAAAGCCCAGAGTAAGTAGAAGAAAGGGAATAATAAAGATCAGAGAAGAAATAAATGACATAGAGACTAAAAAAACAATACAAAAGATCAATGAAACCAAGAGCTGGTTCTTTGAAAAGATAAACAAGATTGCCCAGCAGGGCATGGCTCAGCGGTTGAGCTTCCATCTGGGATCCAGGCGATCAGGGTTCGATTCCCGGTCAGGGCACATGCCCAGGTTTTGGGCTTGATCAATGACTCTCTCATCATTGATGTTTCTGTCTCTCTCTCTCCCTCTCCTTTCCTCTCTCTGAAATCAATCAAGATATATTTCAAAAAAAAAAAAGAAAATATATTTCAAAAAAAAAAGATAAACAAGACTGATGAACCTTTAGCCAGACTTTAAGAACCAAACAGAGAGGACCCAAATAAACAAAATCAGAAATGAAAGAGGTGAAGTAACAATTGACCTGACTGAAATACAAAGGATTTTAAGAAAATACTATGAACAACTATATGCCACCAAGCTGGACAACTTGGATGAAATGGACAAATTCCTAGAAAAATACAACCTTCCAAAACTCAATCAGGAAGAGTCAGAAAACCTGAATAGGTCAATACCTGCTGATGAAGTTGAAGCAGTAATCAAAGGGCTCCCAGCAAACAAAAGCCCTGCTCCGGATGGCTTTATAGAGGAGTTTTACCAAACATTCAGAGAACTAACACCAATCTTCCTCAGACTGTTCCAAAAAAATCCAAGAGAAAGGAACACTGCCAAGCTCTTTTTAGGCCAGCATTAGCCTAATTCTAAAGCCAGATAAAGACACTACAAAGAAAGAGAATTACAGACCAATATCCCTAATGAACATAGATGCTAAAATCCTCAACAAAATATTAGCAAATCGTGTATGCACCATGACCAAGTGGGATGTATTTCAGGGATGCAACGCTGGTACAACATTCACAAATCAATAAATGTGATACATCACACAAACAAACTGAGAGAAAAAATTCACATGGTCATTATCAACAGATGTAGAAAAAGCATTCAACAAAACCCTACATCCATTTTTGATAAAAATTCTCAGCAAAATGGGAATAGAGAGATCATACCTCAACATAATAAAGGCCATATATGACAAACCTACAGCCAACATCATCATATTCAATGGACAGAAACTAAAAGCATTTCTCCTAAGAACAGAACAAGACAGGGGTGTCCACTTTCACCACTCTTATTCAACCTAGTACTGAAAGTCCTAGCCACAGCAATCATACAAGAAGAACACATGAAAGGCATCCAAATTGGAAAGGAGGAACTAAAACTGTCATTATTTGCAGATGACATGATATTGTACCCAGAAACCCTAAAGACTCCACGAAAAAACTACTAGATTTAATAATTGAATTCGGCAAGGTAGCAGGATACAAAATTAACACCCAGAAATCAATGGCATTTTTATACATCAATAATGAATTCTCAGAAAGAGAAACTAAAAAACAATCCTTTTTACCACTGCAACAGAAAAATTTAGATACTTAGGAATAAACTTAACCAAGAAGTAAAAGACCTGTACTCAGAAAACTATAGGACATTGCAAAAAGAGATAGAGGACGATATAAACAAATGGGAGAATGTACCTTGTTCATGAATTGGAAGAATTAACATCATTAAACTGTCCATACTATCCAAAGCAATCTATAAATTCAGTGCAATCCCTACTAAAGTACCAACAGCATATTTCACAGATCTAGAACAAATGCTTCAAAAATTTACATGGAACCAAAAAACACCCCAAATAGCCACAGCAATCTTGAGAAAGAAGAGCAAAGTTGGAGGGATCACAATACCAGATATCAAGTTATACCACAAAGCCACTATAATCAAAACAGCATGGTACTGGCACAAGGACAGACATATAGATCAGTGGAACAGAATAGAGAACCCAGAAATTGACCCAAGCCATTATGCTTAATTAATATTTGACTAAGGAGGCAAGAACATACAATGGAGTAAAGATAGTCTCTTCAATAAATGGTGTTGGGAAAATTGGACAGGTACATGCAAAAAAGTGAAACTAGACCACCGACTTACACCATCCACAAAAATAAACTCAAAATGGATAAAAGACTTAAATGTAAGACATGAAACCATAAAAATCCTAGAAGGAAACGTAGGCAGCAAAATCTCAGACATGTTTCATAGCAATATGTTTGCCAATACATCTCCTAGAGCAAGAGAAACAAAGGAGAAAATTAACAAATGGGACTGCATCAAAATAAAAAGCTTCTGCAAAGCAAAAGAAACCATCTACAAAATGAAAAGGGTTCCCACTGTATGGGAGAACATGTTTGCCAATGACACATCTGATAAAGGGTTAATATCCAAAATATATAAGGAACTCATACAACTTAACAAAAGGAAGACAAACAATCCAATTAAAAAATGGGCAAAGGACCTAAATAGACACTTNAAGACACACAATACTATTAAAAAATGGGCAAAGGGCCTGAATAGGCATTTCTCCAAAGAGGGCATGCAGATGGTTAAAATACATATGATAAAATGCTCAATGTCGCTAATCATCAGAGAGATGCAAATTAAAACCACAATGAGGTATCACTTCACACCTGTCAGAATCTCTACCATCAACAAATCAACAAATGACAAGTGCTGGTGAGGGTGTGGAGAAAAGGGCACCTTAGTACACTGCTGGTGGGAATGCAGACTGGGGCAGCCACTATGGAAAGCACTATGGAGGTTCCTCAAAAGATTAAAAATTGACCTGCCATTTGACCCAGTGGTCCCACTTCTAGGAATATATCCTAAAAAACTTGAAACACCGATCACAAAGAACTTATGCACCCCTATGTCCATAGCAGCACAATTTACAATAGCTAAGATCTGGAAACAGCCCAAGTGCCCATCAGTAGATGAGTGGGTAAAAAAGCTGTGGGACATTTACACCATGGAGTACTATGGAGCTGTAAAGAAGAAGGATCTCTTATCCTTTGGGACAACATGAAGGGAACTGGAGAGTATTATGCTAAGTGAAATAAGCCAGTGAGAGAAAGACAAGTACCACATGATCTCACTCATATGTGGAATGTAATAAA